TGGGCTGGGCTGGGCTGGGCCGGGACTGGACAAGACACGACACCGACTCCTTCCCTCCCTGCCCCTCTTGGCGCCTCTTTTGAAAGTGGCGCCAAACCACGGCGCCAATCCCGCAGCCTAGAGGATACTCCGCCCCCCTGTTCCCGCCACGCGGGCCCCGCCCTCCCGTTCCCGCCACGCGGGCCCCGCCCGGCACAGGGCGGGAGTGGCGCCCGCGGCCCCTCAGCGCTGTCGCTGTCACCGTCACTTCCAGCCCCGCCACCCCCGTCTGACAGGATCCGCCATGCTCCTCAGGGGTAGGGTTAGAGCCGTGCTGGGCTAATAAACGATACAAAGAACCAAGCACGGGGCTCCTCTAGGGTGGTGTCAGGAGCAGCTAAGAGCGGGATCCGGCAGCTCCCGGCGTGTGCACACAGTCATCCCCAGGGGTTTTCAGCCTCTTAAACCCTCACGGGAAACGCCAGCGCTTAGTTTTCACTCGTGTTTTGACCACAGGAAAAAAAGACTGTCGAGCCATTTGACTGCGGTGCAGTCTCGAGAAAGCCCGCAGCAGGGCAGCCCGGTTGTAGCCCTCTGGGTTCCAGTGAGGAAGGGGCTTTGCATCCCAAACAGTGCCAGCAAACAGTGCTGCGCCACCCGGGTTAAGACTGGCTGACTAAGGGGAAGATATGTGTGAACAAAGTCCTTACAAGCCATGTTCGGGGAGGGTGCCTGGGTGCAGTGTCGTCGTCGTCCCCCCCCATCCTGCTCTTCCCCAGATTTAACACCAAATAGCTGGCAGTGGCAGCAACATTTCTAGTCGAGCAGTGCTGACGGAGTCACTTGACTTCACGACTCATTGCAGTCTACCTAATCCCCAAATGTGAGTGGTCACCTCTCTGTTCTTCTAGAGACTCTCCCTTCCTTCTGTGCAGTAATCAGCAGGCTACAGTGATTCTCAACCAAGGTCCTGCAGCACCCTCACAAAGGAGCTATTACTGCTTTATATCTCTCAGGGTTAGGACCTTATTGATAGCTATGTTAAGTTATAAATGAGGTTAACTGGTACAGATAACATTGTATGAACCCTCTACAGTGGTGAGAATTTTGCTTGTCCTGCAGTCCTTTCTTGCCTATTTAAAAAAATGAGACCTCTTGGAAAAATCTGCCTTCTCATTAGTGTGAAACTGCATAAATAGTTTTGGATAAGTAGGAATGAAGAGCCAGCATGTGGGAGGGTCTGCTTTACTATATTGGAAAATAATTATGTGTATACTTTGAAGTAAATATGTGTCGTGGAGAAAATACAACCACAAATGGGAAAATGATTTTGTGTAAAAATCATCTGTGTAGAACTATATGTCATCTTTGCTGTACAAATAAAACTGAAATCATAGTTTCATAGTAGGTAGGATTGGAAGCGACCTAAGCAGATCATGAAGTCCGACTCCCTGCTATGGGCAGGAAAGGATGCTGGGGTCAAACAGCCCCGGCTAGGTGATTGTCTAGCCTCATTTCGAAGACCCCCAGGGTAGGGGCTTAGGACAGAGCGCATGAAAATGTTGGATTTTAGTTTTCATTCTTGAATGTTATTTGCAAACTAGCAAAAATGTACAATTTGGAACAATACAAACATGTTTTGTCATCAAACTATTTATTGCTCTGTTAACAATTCACTTTATTTCCAAACTAGAAGAAAAATATGTAACAGGCTGAAGAACTAGTTCTTTATCACAGATTTAGAAAAAGTCATTTAATGCCTACAGTACATTTTTTAAATGAACTGGACAAAGAAACAAAGTCTTGTTTAGAAAATACTTGATATATGTTCAGACTTGACTAATTCAAGCTAAGCTTGAAGTCAAAGTATTTTGACTCCAAACCTGCACAGTTTTCATCATGCAAGTAGTTGCTTTTAGGGTAGCAGGGACTACTTGCTAAAGTTGAGTAAGTAGTTTAAGTTTTTGCAAGATGTAGGTAGCTGACAATCACATAATATAGCATACTTTCATAAAAGTATTAACTGCAAATTGACATACTTCAATGAAATAAATAGCACATTCAAATTTATCACTGCAAAATACTGAATAACTGAAATGCTTCTTACTAGTATTTTATTTCTATACAAATATTTTAAGCCCCTATTCATTGAACAGTTGTTTTTACACTACATTTTGAAGTACTTTGCTGAAGGAAGAGATTCTGGATAGGATATTAGGTGGGTGACATTTCACAGACCATAACGCATAGGGAAAATAAGTAAGATTCTGGTCCATGGTCATCACAGTCATAGTGAGTCGTTCACATTTTACGACTAAAGAAGCATGTTACAGAAACAAGTGGTATGTCATAGGGAGAGGGTGTAATCATGAAGGCAAATGGATGCTTGTTCCTGCTGAGTAGACATACAACATTAAGAAAAAAAACAGTTTGTCAGTTTTATACTACAATGTAGGATTTTTTTTTTAATATCCTCTAGGATTCCTCCCGCTTCTTCCCCGTCCCCCATGCTATCATGTAATCATTCACAGCTGTGCTTACTGGGAATAAAATGTTATTTTTAGCCCATTATGATTTGGTAACTATTTACATTTTCTTTTCACTTTGTTCAAGAATAAAAATGACCACACACAGTGCATTGCAGAGTGTATTCCAGATCTATGGAACACTAAGGCAGTTTGCCATTAGCCTTTATTATAGCTGGTGTTCTTGGCAGTTCCCCCTCTAGAACCATGTTACCAGGAGCTTCTCTGGTGACAGTACCCTGAGGAGGGATGGGTGGAAAGGCTTCATGGAAGAGTTAACACAACCTGAGGTTACATTTCTCTTTAGTGGAAATTCTTCTGAGAGTTAACATGTATGCATTTTTCCACAGCTCTACATATGTCCATTTCTTATCCCTTCCCACCCTCAACCAGCCCCCACT